CAGATCAGGGGCGGCCGGGAAGAGAATCCGTGTCTGACCAGGGAAGCTTCCCCCCAACTGCGGGGTGGGCAGGGGGATCCTCTCCCCGGATAGGCCAGCCGGCGATCAGTTGCAGCTACTTAGATTTACAAGGAAAAGCTGCTCCGAGGGAAGATCCCGACTTTGGCTTTCTGGCTCCGGAGGCTTTTTCGAGGAAACTGTCAGGTTCCATTGGCTGGGTTGCACTTCGCAGGGGGCTGGACTAGATGACCTTTTTGGCCACCTCCACTCCACCGTCCAAAGATCCTACGGTTCTGGCACTATAAAAGCAGAGGAATTGCCCCCCCCCCCCCCACCCTGGTCATCCAAGACAGGGACCTGGCCCCAGGGAGCCAGTTCAAGAGATGGGGCAGAGCCTGGAAAGCAGTCCTGCCAGGATGGTCAAAGGGTCTGGCCTGCTGGGTCTGGAGGGGAGGGGAGGGAGGGGAGGGGAGGGGAAGGGACAGCAGCCTTCAAAGGGCTCTAGAGACCCCATGCAGCAGACACAGGGGGCTGGTCCTCCATTGGCCCAGAAGACAGGACCAGAGCCGGTGGGAGAGAGAGACACGGAAGGAGATTTGGGCTGGAGATTAAGAATGGTTTGGCCCAGTCCCTCTCTCTCAGCCCAGCCCACCTCACAGGGTTATTGTTATGGGAAAATAGGAGGAGTATTCGCTGCCTTATTTATAAAAATAATAAAAGTGGGATATAAAAAATAATCTTCCTGGCTGGGGGAGCTGTCAGCCTGTGGTTCAAGCAGCCACACAAGTGCGGTGAGTTGGGAATTTCCCAGCAGGGGCTGGGTGGGTAGTGCAGCTGTCACAGATGTTCTAGTGTGGGCCTTCCCAAACTTTTACCTGCATTAACCAAACTACTTCTAACAGAATAACAAGAGTGTGGGAGGGACCTCGGAGGTCTTCTAGTCCAACCCCCTGCTCAAGCAGGAGACCCTGTATCATTTCAGAGAAATGATTGTCCAGTCTCTTCTTAAAAGCCTCCAGTGATGGAGCACCCACAACTTCTGGAGGCAACTTCCGTTCCACTGGTTGATTGTTCTCACTGTCAGGAAATTCCTCCTTAGTTCTAGGTCGTTCTCTCCTTGATAGGTTTCCATCAGAAATTTGTAAGTTTCTTTTAAAAGTTTTTATCAGAAAGTCCTTTTTAACCCAAGAAAAGTAAAACACTTTAAATTCATTTAAATATGTCTCTTGTGATTGGTCATGAGTTTGTGTGTTGTGGGCAAAAGTGTTGGGTAAGTTACTCAGGCATGGGAAGCCCTAATAAAGTGGATTCTGCCCTAAGTAGGGTTGGACTAAATGATCTCTGGGTTCCACGTTCATGATTTTACATGGAATATGAAACATGAATATGCTTCAGCTGGTGAACAATATTCAGAAAACATGGCGTGTCTCAAAGAGATTCTGCTGTTGGATTTCTTAAGCAAAAACACACACACACAAAAACTTCTAATGTCATTTTTGAAGCACCATAGAAGGGCACAATGCAGGACTTTCATTTTCAGGATAATGCAACCAAAGATGGGACAAAGTTTCCCCCCAACCCTAACCCATCATCCTTTCTAGTATGTCTAGTTTAATGAAAAGTAAGGACGAGGGGGGACAGGATAGCAGTCTTCCAGTATCTCAGGGGCTGCCCCAAAGAAGAGGGAGTCAAGCTATTCTCCAAAGCACCTGAAGGCAGGACAAGAAGCAACGGGTGGAAACTAATCAAGGAGAGAAGCAACCTGGAACTAAGGAGAAATTTCCTGACAGTTTAGAACAATTAACCAGTGGAACAACCTGCCTCCAGAAGCGGTGAATGCTCCAACACTGGAAGTTTTTAAGAAGAGACTGGACAGCCATTTGTCTGAAATTGTGTAGGGTTTCCTGCCTGAGCAGGGGGTTGGACTAGATGACCTCCAAGGTCCCTTCCAACTTTACTATAATAATAATAATAATAATAATAATAATAATAATAATAATAATAATAATAATAATAATAATAATAATAATAATAATAATAATAATAATAATAATAATAATTGTCTGGCTAGGAGAAAGGGCAAAGGGGGTGGGGGGGAGAGAGACACGGCTGATGGTCCAAGGGTGGAGGAGGGAGGGCCTAACTTCACCATCCTTTGGGGGGCAAGCAGGGCCAGCAGCCCCCCTTCTTGCTCCCGTGGATGGGCAGGCGGCTACCCAGCCTTCCCTGGGCAGCGGGGTGCGCTTGTG